ACTGCTTATATTTAGTAACAGTCATAATGCAGGGTGATGGTGAGTCTGTGTAACCATTATGACCAGGGCCATCCTTAGGAATTCTGGAGAAAGGCCATATAACAACACCAGTCATGCTGCAGGGAAAAGTGGGCACATCAAATTTGAAAAGACTGGCAGGCAAGCCATTACCTTTTTTTTCAGGGGAAGACAGTCATCAGCTCAATTAATCAGCAGAAGCATAACACAATCACAAACTGCACTTGGCATCTTATATCATGTTGCCAAAGAAAAAGCACCTCACACAATTGCAGAAAGATTAATATTGCCTGCTGCTAGACAGAGTTAATGCAGTTCTAGATGAAAAGGCTAAACATAAGCTAAACATAATTCCCAGTGACAATATGTTACCATTACAGATTTGTGCAAAACTTTGGCGACATTTTATAAATGTCGATAAAAAAGTATTGCGAAATGATGGCATTTCCACTAAAACGTAATCTTTTGCCTCTCGCGATAAGTCATGGCAACGGATTTTGACGGATTTTGGCTATATTTATTCAAAGGAGGCGTATGCGTGTCTCTTTACGGAAGCAGCACAGAGAGCCGCTTCAGAAACGTGCGTGGCGCGGCTGGATTCTGGAATAAACACAAGCATTGTGGCCGCAATCAGCTTCAGTGGCCGTATCAGAGCCACACTGCACCGCAGACGTGTGCAGTGTAAATTGTCTAAGCATTAATGGTAGTGAAAGCCCCTTATACTGGAGAGCGGCCACCATTATTATCCTGAAAAGACCTTTGCAGCAAACCAGAGCAACATTAGTGAATCAGCACATGGTTTTGTATATCTCTCCAGCTTCACTGACTCACCCGCTGTAGTCTGCTATTCAGTCCCCCGAACCAGGGTTTCTATTTGAAGTGAAAGCCTCTGGGATAACAGCAAACCAATTAATCTTTCCTATAATAGACTGAAGGCTTGTGGATTATTGTGCTGATTGGAAAGTTTGCTTCAGAACCTTAATTAGCTTTGCAGGTTTTCCCGACGACCAAATCTCTTCTGACTCCTCAATTAATGTAATTCTTAATATAATTATCATACATTGTCCTCATTATCGATTGACTGCAGTTACATGAATGAATGGGGGGTGTTCTCCGTAGCCCGGAGTACTTTTGTTATTAAAAGTAAATCTGCCTCCCACATTTGTCTTGCAGCTCTAATTTACCAAAATATATTGTGCAGGTTAGGAATGCATTTTACATAGGGCAGAGGCTGATGGGAATTAATTGCGCCTGACACTTGATGGATCTTTGTGACGTCTTATAAGTGAGTGGGCCGAATTCTTGTAATCGATTCCATCACGGGTGAACACATGGTCTCGACCCCAGCAGAGATAACAGCTGCTTCTGTGTGTTCCAGCTCTTTCCTAGCAGGTAACTGGCAGGACTTGAAAACACTTGGGCCAATTTTTATCAAATTGCGGTTCATTCTTGATTGATTCCTGTTGGTCACATACAATTTTTCTTTGGGGATAAATCATTATGCTGTCTTATCCTGCTGTTCTGTGTATTGGACAATTCTGTCTCTATTTTTCCCTCCAAATGACAGAGGTGCAGTTTTCAGAGCTTGTGATGAGCAAGGACTGAGTAACAAGCAATGAGAAGGGCCATGTTCTTTTTACTGCAGTACCACGTATGATGTGTTTTTTGGAGGTTATAGTACACTGAAGAATGATCAAATGACTTTTTACATATACCATGTGACCTGTAAATGCGAAAAAGCCGTTTCCATTGCAGTTTTGCTAATTATTACTTTTTCGCATTGCCTGAAAAACCACCTCATGCAAGCGTAAAAACTTTTTTTGCAATATATGGGCGTTTTTGCGAAATTGACGCGTTTCCATTAGGCATATTTTCAATTCGCAATTTCAATTTGTGCAGTTTGAAGGTTAATGGAACCTACTGTGAATTGGGGATATTGCCAAGAATTTGGAAAAACAACTCCTTGCGAGATGGAAATCAGCAAAGGATTCTGATTACAGTATGAATGAGACTTTAAAAAATTTGTAACATTTTACCAATTTGCAACCAAGTTTGTTGCTCATCTTGAAACCACTGGTTATCACTTGAATTGACTAAATCGGTATGTAAACAAAACAGCTGAAAATGGTCTCGACCCCAGCAGAGATAACAGCTGCTTCTGTGTGTTCCAGCTCTTTCCTAGCAGGTAACTGGCAGGACTTGAAAACACTTGGGCCAATTTTTATCAAATTGCGGTTCATTCTTGATTGATTCCTGTTGGTCACATACAATTTTTCTTTGGGGATAAATCATTATGCTGTCTTATCCTGCTGTTCTGTGTATTGGACAATTCTGTCTCTATTTTTCCCTCCAAATGACAGAGGTGCAGTTTTCAGAGCTTGTGATGAGCAAGGACTGAGTAACAAGCAATGAGAAGGGCCATGTTCTTTTTACTACAGTATAACCAACCCAGTCTCATAAAAATACGTACCTCTGGGTACTTTTCTGCAACACCGTTTTTATGTACCTTACTGCACGTTTCGCCGCAGTTTCAAAGAGAAATGTCCACTGAGTGATGCTAAAACACGGGTTCAATATATGAACCCTGGCATGTTTTTATTACGTTGATCTAGGTACATATTGGTGTGTTTTTATTACGTTGCTTCAGGTACGTATTGGTTCAGAATTCAAATATCTGGGGACTGTCGCTAAAAGTTAATGCAAAACTCTGTAAATTTGTGTGAAAAGAAATACAAGGCGTCAGAGTTTTACTGCCTCTAGTGTTAATTTCTTTTGGAAACTGCAGTGATATGTACTTATTGGTCCGCAAAAAGTGCCCCACACTCTTAAAAATAAAGCTGCTTCAAAAGGTTCTTCAAGCGATGCCATAGAAGAACCATTTTTGGTTCCACAAAGAACCATTCAGTCAAAGGTTCTTTAAAGAACCATCTCTTTCTTACCTTTTTATAATCTGAAGAACCTGCTTTCGCCACAAAGAACCTTTTGTGAAACAGAAAGGTTCTTCAGATGTTAAAGGTTCTTTATGGAACCATTTAAACAAAAAGGTTCTTCTATGGCATCGTGAAG